TTCTGGACCTAAACTATGAGAATTTTGTTTTCAGGGTCTCCCTATTAAATACCTGGCTGGCCCAATGCCCGCTCACAGCCCCGCCATCAGAACTGTCAGTTTTCTCCATTCATTTCGGTCAGGTTCTCACTTTTAGCTCCAAGGCCCCTGCCCCACGTCCACCTCTGCACTGTTTTCCGAGCAGGTGACGCTCTTGTCTGCTGACCAGGGTGGGCAGCGAGCAGCCTCCAGTGCAAAGGCTGCAGACCCTCCTCCCGTTCTGTCCCCAAACTGGGCAGCTATTCAAGAAAATCATTTCTCAGTGGGTTGTCTGCTTTAGTCAATTTCCACAGCTCCAAAGCTGTGAATTTTGGTAATTTTGCTCAGTTTTAGCCATGTTTTTCTGTGGAGAGGATTTGATGACCCCTGTACTTGGCCGTGGCTGGAACTCAGACCCTTCCTTATAGTTTTAAGTGCTTGTTTTCAGGTTCAAGTTTTTACTTATTCTGGAATGTATCTCCGTGAATGTTGTGAGGTAGGTTATTGAGGGATTTTTTATATGGGAAACCAATTTTTAATTTTTTGCTTATGAAATCCATAATCCCTCTCTTCCTGACTTGTTTGTAATGCTTCCTCTGTCCTGTGTGAAGTTTCTGTCTGCATGGGGCTCTTCCTGGGTGCTCTTTTCATTGCATTGATCAATTTGCCCATTCTCTTAGTTTTAAATTCATTTTATGGATATACCATTAACTACTCCCCATGGTTGGAAATTTAGGTTATTTCCAGTGCTTTCAAATTTGGTTAACATCCTTGTGGTAAATCTTTGCATACTTTCATTATTATTTTTTAGAATCATTTCTTAAAAGCACTTGGTGGGTTAGAAGTAATATACCAAATTTTAAGGCTTCTAATATCACCAAAGATTCCTGCAGAAGGGTTTAATTTTTGGTGTCTGTGGATGTATGTACGTGTGTGTGCATACGTTTGTGTATGCCAAAGGGAGTATTTGGTCAAATTCACCCCTGGATTTAGGCTCCCCATTTTTTTTTTTTTTTTGTGAGACAGTTAGCCCTGAGCTGACATCTATACCAGTCTTCCTCTATTTTGTATGTGGGTCGTCACCACACTGTGGCCTCTGATGAGTGGTGTAGGTCCATGCCCAGGAATCGAACATGGGCTGCTGAAGCGGAGCATGCCAAACGTAACCACTGGGCCGCGGGGCTGCCCTCTTTAATGTAAGCGTTAACAGCTGTAAATCCCAATGAGCACTGCTTCACTGTATCCCATGAGTTTTTTGGTACGTTGTATTTTCATTTTCATTCATCTCAAAATATTTTCTAATCTCCTTTCTGATTTTTTCATTGACCTATTAGTTAAGAGCCTGTTGCTTAATTTCCACATATTTGTGAATTTTCCAGATTTCCTCGTCACTGATTTCTAATGTCATTCCATAGAAATTGGCAAGGGTACCTTGTATGACTTCATTGTTTCACAATTTACTGAGACTTGTTTTGTGGCCCAGCATATGGTCTATCCTGGAGAATATTCCATGTGCCCTGGAAAGGGATGCTTATTCTGCTGTTGTTGGTGAACTGCTCTATGGATGTCTGCAGGTCTAGTTGGTTCACAGTGTTGTTCACGTCCTCTCTTCCCTTAGGGTCTTTTGTCTGGGTTTTCTATCCATTGTTGAAAGTGGGGTGTTGAAGTCTGCAGCTATTATTGGAGAAATGTTTATTTCATCCTTTAATTCTCTCAATTTTGTTTTATATATTTTTGGGACTCTGTTGTTAGGTGTGTATAAGTTTATAATTGTTATATCTTACTGATGGATTGACTCTTTATCAATATGTAATATCTTTCATTGTCTTGAGTTAAGTCTATTTTGTCTAATATTAGCATAGCCGTCCCAGCTCTCTCTTTTTGTGTGTGTGTGTGTGAGGAAGATTAGTTCTGAGCTAACATCTGTTGCCAATCCTCCTCTTTTTGCTGAGGAAGATTGGCCCTGGGCTAACATCTGTATCCATCTGCCTCTACTTTATATGTGGGACGCCTGCCACAGCATGGCTTGACAAGCGGTGCATAGGTCCACGCCCAGGATCCAAACCGGCAAACCTCAGGCTGCCGAAGCGGAGCATGTGAACTTAACCAGTATGCCACCGGGCTGGCCCTCCCAGCTCTCTTTAGATCACTATTTGCGTGGAATATCTTTTCTTTCACTTTCAAGGTGTTGTTGTCTTTGGATCCAAAATGAGTCTCTTATTGATGGCATAGAGTTGGATAACTTTTTTATCTATTCTTCCAATTTCTGTCTTTTAATTAGAGTTTAATCCATTTACATTTAAAGTAATTGCCGATAAGGAAGGACTTACCTCTGCCATTTTATTATTTGTTTTCTGTGTGCCTTATGTCTTTTTTCTTTCTCCACTGCTCCATTACTGCCTTCCTTAGTGTTTGTTTTTTCTAGTGTGTCATTTTAATTCCCTTCTATTTTTCTTTTCTGCCTATTTTTACATTATTTTCTCTCTCTTTTTTTTTTTCCTGAGGAAGATTAGCCCTGAGCTGACATCTGTGCTAGTCTTCCTCTATTTTATATGTGGGTTGCCACCATAGCATGGCTGATGAGTGGTGTAGATCTGTGCCCAGAATCCGAACCCACAAACTGGGGCTGCCAAAGTGGGGCATGCCGAACTTAACCACTAGGCCACGGGGCTGGCCCCTTTACGTTATTTTCTTAATGGTTACCCTGTAGATTATGATTAACATCTTAAACTTAGAACAATCTAGTTTGAATTAATACCAATTGAGCTTCAGCAGTATGAAAAACTCTGCTCCTATATGGCCTGCCCCACTTTGTGTTGTTACTGTTATAAATTACATCTTTATACATTGTGTGCCCAGAAGTATAGATTTGTGATTATTACTTTATGAATTTGTCTTTTAATCATATAGGGAAAAAAAGGTGAATTACAAACCAAAAAAATAATAATACTGGCTTTTTTGTTTACCTCCGTAGTTACTTCCACCAGTGTTCATATGGTTTGAGTTACTGCCTAGTGTCCTTTCATTTCAGTCTGAAGGACTCCTTTTAGTATTTCTTAAGGGCAGGTCTATTAGCAACGAACTCCCTCAGCTTTTATGGACATCGGAATGTCCATTTCTCCTCCTTTTTTTGTGAGGAAGACTGGCTCTGAGCTAACATCTGTTGCCAATCCTCCTCTTTTTGGTGAGGAAGATTGTCCCTGGGCTAACATCCATGCCCATCTTTCTCTACTTTGTACATGAGACGCCACCACAACATGGCTTGATGAGCAGTGTGCAGGTCCATACCTGGGATCCAAACCCATGCACACCGGGCCGCCGAAGTGGAACGCGTGCACTTACCCACTAGGCCACCAGGCCGGCCCCTCTCCTTCATTTTTGAAGGACGGTTTTGCCAGGTATAGAATTCTTGGTTGACAGTGTTTTTCT